GAATGAAACCCAAAGGCATGCGAGGCAGGCTCACACACTAGTGACACCAGTGAACGAAGGTCATGAGGCTGTGCTATGCAAATACAACAGTACAGAACAATGTGCCACTGGGCGTTGGTAAGAACCAGATGAGCAGGGCACCTGGAAGAGCTCTAGGAGTCCTGGGAGGCAGACGTCCTTCTGCCCAGTCATTTGAACTGGGATGGAGGGATTTGCCTGATATCGTTGGAGGGGAAGGAAGAGCAATGCAGAAGAGAATCAGAAAAAGAGTTTCTGGTACTCTCCAAAAATGTATCATTTTTTTTCTCTGCAACTCAGTGAAGGAGAACAAGTCTGGGGAATGTGTAAAGTGTCTACATATGAAGTGAACTGAGACCGCTGCATTCAAGCTTTTGAATAACTGGCAGGTGGTCAATTTCCAAAGCAATCTCTTGGAAACGATGTGGGGAGAGATATAGGAAGTGCTGGGGTTTTATTACCCGTCATGTAGCTGCTGGTGCTGACTCCTCTCCCCTCCTTTCGCCTCTTCCTTCCCCTTTTTTCTGCTTCCCTTCATCTATCCCTTTCAGTTTGCCTCCTGTCATTCCCTGTTATAATTAAAACAAATAGAAAACATTGCAGGTGTCTGCTATAAGGCATTTGCAGATACCATATATTGCATTTTAAAAAAAGCAGCTGCAAATTGTGTAATTTGATAAAAAAAAAAAAAAACTTTGAAAGACATTTCTGGAAATAAACAAATCTTTCATCCTGGTAGATTTTGAATTTTCTTTTTGTTTGTACTTCAGCCCAGCTCATCATCATTTCCCTACTGCCTTGCACAGAAAGTTACAGCTTTAACTAGCGAGTGTTGCTCCTACTTTAGAAGAGATGGGGAATTTCTCGAATGATGGTTTACACTGGGGAAACTGTGACTGTGGAGTGTGGTTCAGATTTAGACAGTTTTTCTCTCAGAAAAAACAACACCCGAGAGTAACAGCATCTGTAAGTAACTGAAAGTGGAGAAAAAGTAAAAAAAAAAAAAAAGTGCTGAAATATTATATTATCTGCAGTAGTCAGAAGGGACCTGCCTTCCCCCGAGGAAACCAATATATTGTATAGATAACACTGGGGACCCCCTCCAATTGGGGTATCAGGTCTGCAAGTCATTTTTAAGATTCTGCTCCCAGGGCAGATGATAGGCACTCCAGTTTTAGCTTGAGGCTCAGCTATGTCTTCCTCTCTCTTGACTTTCAAATTTCCCAAAGCCATGGAATAGATGCAAGGGCAGGCAGGGCAAGTCAGTTTAGCAATGAAGACCTCAGATTCTCCAGTCGGGATTTAAATCCTGGCTCTAGCTCTGACTGTGATCATGGGACAAATTACTTATCTCTTATACGTCTGTTTCCTCATCTGTAACATTGGGTCAGTGATACTATGCACATCATGGTCATGATTCTCGTGAAGACAGGGGAATAGCATATATGAAGCACTTACTAGTACAGTGCCCGACACAGTAAATGCTCAAGAAAGGCTAGGCAATAATGGTGGTGGTAGTGATGGTGGAGGTGCTGGTGATACCTTTGCTCCCTCCTTTTCAGAGCTTCATACTGCAGTCTTGTCTGTGTCACATCCATCTATCCACCATTTGACAAATATTATAGACCTTTACTATGTGCCAGGCATTGTTCTAGAGCTCTATAAAACAGTACATACATTTATATTCACTAACTTTTAAAATAAAGAAAAATTCAATGCACTCAATTAGGAAAAAATAGTGACAAAGAATGGAAGATGGGTATATACATTCCTGGGAAATTAACATTAGGTTGAAGTGAATGGTCTTGGTTATTAGTCATGCTATATTTCCACACCTGTATTAAATGAGGAGGTAATCTGTTGAGCTTTTCTTGCCCTTAATGGCCAAAACTAGCATAATAAATTAAACATCCTCTACTGAGAAACATAGACTCTTTAAAATGTTCTCTATCCCAGCAGAGAAAGTTATAAACCCCAGTCTCAGGCCAAAGGACTTAGAAGTCTTCACCACAAAGGAGCCAGCCCCAGCTGAATGGCTCTTCTGTTTGAATCAAACTTTATTTCACATAAGGGCATAGTCATCAGGCAGGGTTTTCACCCCTCTGAATTCACTGGTATTTTGTTCTTTTCTCTTTCTCTTTCATTACAACATGGATTCCTATTCCTCTTCTTGCCTTTCGTTTCTTTTCCTTCCATTATATCCTCCATTGTATTTTCCCTGGAGGCCACTCATTCCTTTCGCTCACCCAGTGCCTGTATTGACTGAATGCCTACTTGTGCTGTGAACTTGTCACTCCACTTCTTAGTCACCTGCAACGATACTCTATCATCTACTGATCCAAGCCTAAAGTCTTCATTCTAGTTTGTCCTTAGAGCTTATCTTATTTTCCATTATAACTGCACACACTCCAGATAGGTAACAGCCAAGTCCTTTGCATATACAGAATGTGCACTTTCATTTCTATGCTTCTGTTTTCCTACAGCATTCTCCCTTCTAGAAAATTTTTTAGCTAATTTTCAACCACCAAAATCCATCTTATCCTTAGATGCCTTGCTAAAGACTCGTTTCCTCTCTGTAGTATTCTAAGACAATTCTGGCTTGGTTGTTCCCAGACATTGAAACTTCATGGATATTTACATTTTAAAAATTAGAAATCAACATAAGGTTTCTATTTTTTTCATTTATTATCAAGTCAGACCATTTAAAAATGCCAATTACTAGATACTATTACCACTGTTTCATTAAAAAAAGGCCTTTTAATATCAGTAGGGCATAGGAAATTCATAATCTCAGAATAACAGGCAATACATTAAACTCATTTAGCTTTAAAAAAAACCACATTCATTATTTATTCATTATTTATTTTTACCATGAGGATCCTTTCATGAGCCAGCATCTGGGATATATTTGTGCAAAGCATTGTTAGATGCTAGAAAAAGTGAGTCAGAAAGGCATGGTCCTCTGCCAGTGTGGCAGGGAAATGATAATCCTCGCACTTTGACTATTACTACATCAGGCATTGGGTTAAGCACCTTATTACTCCAACTCAATTTAATACACACAGCAATCCTATGACATAGATATTAATATTCTCATTTTACAGATGAGACTATGAAGGCTTATATAATTTAAAAACGAAATTTTTTGCATTGCAGTAAAATACATATAACACATTTTAAGCATTTTTAAACATACCACTGTGTAGAATTAATTACATTCTGTGTGACTGTAACTTCTATTTCCAAAACTTTTTTGGCATCCTAAACATAAACTCTGTACCCATTAAGCAATAACTTCTCATTATTTCTTCCCCCCAGTTTCTGGTAACCTTCTAATCTTCTGTCTCTGAAATTTTTTTTTCATTTTAATTTATTTTTTCTTAATCAACCCATGATAGTTGTATATACTTATGGAGTACAATGTGATATTTATGTACATTTATACAGTGTGCAATGATCATATAAAGCTTAAAGAATTTAAATTAATTCCCAAAAGTAGCAAAGCTAGCAAGAAGTGAAGTAACTGTCCAAGCCCAAGTCTATATAATTCCCAAACTGGCACTCTAAAATTCTATGCAATATTGCCTCTCAGAACTATAAAATATGGAACGTCTAATTTGCTACAGACTTTTTTCCAAGCCATATAGATGAACTTCCAGTGTTGAACTTACTACATGTTCAGGTTTAATCCAGGTTTTCTCAACACTGGCACTTTTGACATGTCAGGCTGGATAATTCTTTGCTGTGGGGCTGTCCTGTGCCTTGTAGGATGTTTACAGCATCCCTGGTCTCTACCCACTACATGACGTCAGTACTCTCTCCCCAGTTATAACAACCAAAAATGTCTCCGGATATGGTCAAATGTCACCTAAGGGGCAGAATCACTCCCAGTTGAGAACCACTGGCTTAATCCAATCTTGCTGTATGCACACGTCTGAAGACAACCTATACATAAACTACCACAAACATGGGAATAGTTGCACTATGCACAAACATATGTTATATGAATAGCTTTGCGAGACAGTTCTAATAAACAACAGTATTGTCATTTAATTCAAACACAATTTAAAACATTCCTCGAAACTATAGTTTCTGAAGAAATTTAGCAACAGAAGAAAACAATTTTATTTTGGTTACTATAAGAGTTATAATAAGTTATTATAAAACTTATGTCAAGCCAAGAAAAGCAATAACAATTTAAATCTTCTCTAGGGTTACCGTGCAAGAGATGTTCAGGGAATCACCGACACTATCCAGTTGAAAAGGCTTCCTCCCAATAGGATACAACCATTAGCAAGATCAAAAAGTCTCTCAAGACTGAATATAGATGGCAGTGAGATATCAAATGGGACCTGAGAAAAAGCATGGAAGTGCTTGTGAAATGCAGTTTCAAACTGTTGGCTGTAGTAGAGTTCTCAAAATATCCAAATACCAATTTAATACAATGATTTTATATGAAAGGAAGTTAACTTTTGTGCCTAAGGTAAGGCACAAAGTTTTGTATCTCTATACTGCTGAAATATCACATACATCCTATATCTTATTAAGATTCATAGATTAGCCTATAAAATGGCAAACACCCCTAAAAATATGGAGTATGTATATTTATATAATCATTGTACGTGGCTCTAAGGTAGGAGCCACTGTTCCTAACGAAATGCTTTCCTTCATAACAGATTGACTGGTTGACAAATCTCCCTCCCTCATTTTGAGCACAAGTCCTGACACAATGAAGGGGGAAGCATCAGTAAATTATGTTTGGAGATCACTCTATCTGAAAGAGGCACCGGGTTACCATGACTGAGGGCAAGTGCAGCTACAGTCATCCTGTGCAGGCTGAAAAACGGAAAATAAAGACTTTTTGTGGGCACAGCATTGGTTATTTGATTGGCAGAGGAGAGAACAAAGGAAATGAATGTTTGCTGGGGACCCACTTCGTGCTGATCTAGATTAACACTTTTGAAGATGAATGAGCAAAAATTGCTTAAAATGGCCACAATGAATTAGAGCCTAGTGGGTCTGAATCCTGGTAAGAAATTAGAGAACAAGTTTTATTAATTTCTTGTCCACTTGTCAAATGAACCATTTATTTCTTTTATTCTGAAGAAAGTGTAATGAACCTAAAAGTGGAGGTTGGTTTTTGTTATCTTTTTCTTCACTTTATTGGATTAAAAAATGACGAAGTATTTGAGCGCCGTCTATAACTTCAAACAATAAAGAGGTGAATAAATTAAAAATTAATAATATCCTTCCCCCTTCCTCGATCAATCCTGATTTAATGTTTCCAGTGTGGAAGAGTATCCTTCCATATGGTGCTTCCCCCCCCCTTTTTTAAATGGGATAATTAGGTTTTCATTATTTGCTACTTCAATTAACAATATGTCTTTTTTTTAAAAACCCTCTTTAATCAACTCACAACTCATGGAGACAGAATGACCACATGGAGGTTAAGAGTGTGCATTTTGGAGTAAGACTGCTTAGCTCAAATTCAGACCTCATCATTTATCAGCTATACGAGGTTAGGTAAAATATTTTATCTGTTTGAACTTCAATTTCCTCATCCATAAAATAGAAATAATAATAGTTGCTACATCACATTGTTGTTACAAGGACTGAATGAGCTTATACATTTAAAACACTTAGAATGTGCATAGTACACAATAATCACTCAATAAAGGCTATGTATTATTGTCATTTCTTAATGGTTACATAACAGTTCATGGGTTGGCTGTATCCTGATTTATTCATTTTCCGTAGAGCTTGTTTCTAATTTTTCTGCATGCTTGCCTATTCATACATAAATCCTTGGGTAAAAGTGCTTTTAATTTCTGTACTACTGACTCCCTAAGGTGGTTTTTAGTCAAATGGTGTTTACCTTTTACCTCAACATTTATTGCTATAATTACTTCCCAAGTAGGTTGTGGCAATTACCATTTCAAGCAGCAATATATGAGGGTTTCCCCACTCTCTAGGTAGCATATAATGGAATGTTATAAACTTTTTTGTTGTTTTGCTATTTCACTGCTGTCTTTTATTTGGAAAAATAAAGGAAAACATTTTGGCAAGCTAATATTAACTGGTTTATTAATATATTGAAACTATATTTTACCATAATTATTTTGGTTGTATCTCATAGTTGTATTCAGCCGCACTGAACATTCAATCTATTTTGGTGATGAAATATCTCATATCCAATTGAATACCCTTTAGCAGATGATTTTCAAAGTAATATACAAATAAATAATAATCAGCATTAAAATATTTGTATTTTCTTTTGTGCTGTATTAGTTTTATTGTGGAATCCTTCCCATGTTAAAGATGATAGAATGTTTTAAAAACAATGTAGTCAAGTTAGTTTTACTTAACATCAGAGTTACCACCATGACATAATTTATATAGTAGAAACAAAGAGCATTTTGGCCTCTGACCCTTGTCACTGAACCTCCAGAAACAAATGGCCATTTGTCAAAGGATGAAGATTAACTGCTGAGTTTATTTATGTAGGTCACAAGAGAAAGCTTCAGATCAGAAAGATAAAATAAAAACAGTTGTCACCAAGGAGTTATTAATCCTTTTTTGTCCTCAGGAGAACACAAATTACCCTAAAATGTCAGGACCCACTCGTGTTATGACTCTTATCTTTTTAGACACCTCAAGCATTTTAAGCCCTTTGATAGACAAATCATATACTTAAAATTCCAGCTATTTCTATCATGCTAAAACACAGTTTTCTATGTTTTCTTATAGCTGGACACAATTTTTTTTAAGTAAACTTCTGATTGAATTATGCCATATAGATAGATAAAATGGAGGAATCATATTGTGTGACTTAAATATATTTTATATTTCAAATTGGAAATATTCATGTAACCATCGCACAGATCAAGAAATAGAACATGATCAGTACACAAGGAGTCTCCCTGGTACTCCCCCCAACTCATTGGGCAGATTATATACATGTTTTTGTTTTTACTGCATATAAACAGAATAATACAATTTATACTCTTTTGTGTCTGGCTTTTTTGCTTGCTCAACATTACGTTCTTGAGATTCATCTATGTTGTTGAGTGTAGCAATGGTTTGTTCATTCTTAATGATGCATAGTTTTCATTATGTGAATGTATCACAGTTTATTCACTTTTCAAGTTGATGGTCATTTGAGTTATTTTGATTTTTTCAGTGTTGTAAATGAGCATATATTTTGGTGCACATACATACACATGCCTGTTAGGCATTGTATTGGTCCATTTCTGTTGCTTATAACAGAATACCTGAAACTGGGTAATTTATAAAGAAACAATATTTATTGCTTACAGTTTTGGAGGCTGGGAAGTCCAAAGTCTAGGGAACACATTGGGTGTGAGCCTTGCTGGTGGGTAGTGACTCTTCACAGCAAAGCAGTGTGTCACATGGTGGATGGTGGAAGCAGAAAGAGAAACAAACCTCCTCTTTCACTCTCCTTTTAAAGCCACCAGAACCACTCGTATTATTCCAAGAATGGATAAGCCCATTCATGAAGGTACAGTCCTCACAATCCAATCAAGGAAGCAGAAAGAGAAACAAACCTCCTCTTTCACTCTCCTTTTAAAGCCACCAGAACCACTCCTATTATTCCAAGAATGTATAAGCCCATTCATGAAGGTACAGTCCTCACAATCCAATCAACTTTTCAAGACCCCACCTTTCAACTACCTAGTACGACTTCCCACCCTCTTAAAACTGTCACAGTGGGGACCAAGGCTCAATGATTTTCAGGAGACATCCAGTCCACAGCAGGCAGACACATAAAAGTACAGTTTGCAGGGCCACTAGGTATGCATATATTCATCTTTAAGCTAATTTTACTCAATCGATTTCTAATTTACACTCCCTACTACCAGTATGTGAGGGCTCCAGTTGTTCCATATCTTCATAAACTTTGATAATTTAAGTTTAAAATTTTGGCTGTTCTGGTGTGCTTCGCATGTGTCAAAATCTCTCTCTCTGTTTTTAATGTCATGTCCCCAACAACAAACAACACTGAAATTATGGTATATGTCTCTTTGTTAAAGCAGGTGTTTTGTTAAATTTACATCAAGTTTTTTTTTTCATTGATATATACAGGAATTCTTAATATATTCTAGAAACCAATTCTTTGTTGGATATAAATAAATATTTTCTCCCACTCTTATGGCTTGCCATTCACCTGCTTAATGGTATTTTAAAATACAGTCCAATTTCTTAGTCTTTCCTTTATGATTCGTACTTTTAAAGTGTATCCTGTCTATGAAAGGTCACAATGAATATCTCTTATGATCTCCTCTAGAAGCTGTATTGTTTTATCTTCCACATTTATTTCTACGATCAATTTGGAATTGATTTTGTGTATTCTGTAAGGTAAGGATCAAGATGCATTATTTTTCAATGTAAACACCCAGTTGACTCAGACTCATGTATTGAAAAAACTGTTCCTTCCACTGTACTGAAAAGTTGTCTTTGTCATAAATCATGGGACTGCATATGAATGGATATCTTTCTGGACTCTATATTCTATTTATATATTTATAGAATAGAGACTACATAAATCTATCTGTCTACCTACCTACCTACCTACCTTCCTATTTATCTGGACTATATGTACTTAATCTCACACTGTGTTATTATTGTAGCTCTTTAATAACATTTGATAGCTAGAAATTTAAGTCCATCAGCTTTGTTCTTTTTCTGGATGGTCTTAGCTATTCTAGGTCCTTTGAACATCCATGTAAATTTTCTGATAGTACTACAAATGATAACTTTAAAAGAATTTATTTCTAATTGTTGCTTCTGCTATATAGAAAAAAAATTTATATTTGCATTCATATTATATATAGCAAATTTGCTAAATTTACCTATTCATTCTAAGAGTTTATCTGAAGACTATTTTGGATTTTCTATTTCTGTGAATAATGAGAGTTTTATTTCTTCCTTTCCCACACTTACACCTTTTTAAAATTCTTCTTTTATTTCACTGGTTAAGAACTCCCATATAATGTTAATTAGAAGTGACGATAGGATATTATTAACAAATGATTAACTAACTTTTCAATTCAGGGGAAAGGAGGTTTACTTAATGAATGGTATTCTAAAATTATCTGCTACTAAAACTGTATCCTTATCTTTACTTTCATATGTACTATTTTTGTTAAGTTTATTCCAGGGCATTTAATAATTTTGTCACTATTATGAATGGAGGCTTTAAAATTTCCATTTTAAATCATTATTTCTAGAAGAAGGTATTTTTTAATATCCATTCACTATATCAGGTTCTTAGTTCTAATCCCTTCTAAAAACTCTTGGGTTTTATAATTATATTATTTACAAATAAATATAT